CTTTTATACTCTCAATAATCCCGGCAAGCTCCTTGAGACCCCCAAATCCCTAACACCGTTTGAACGTGTATATCAGATTTAGGTTTTGCATAAGTGAAGAGATTTCATCCTTCAACCTACACCCATTTGTGAATGTGAAGAGTACACATTATATGCCAATATAGGTATTATCTACATTTTTCACATTCATAACAAAGCTTGTCTTTGTCGGTTAATTCTCGTGAATCACAATTGAGCTCACTTTGATAAGGCCATCATAACAGTTCTTTTGTAGTCATGTTTCATCATCACAGAAGAGTTTTAGCATGGTAATTTTTTGTTGTATGTTTTTTGAAACTCAATCCATCTGGCGACCGCCATGGAAGCTTTGTAATTAGTTGTCAGGTAAACAGTACCATGTGTTTGGTGAAGAATTCTGCTTTTCTGCTAAACCTGTAAAATGTGCCTCACATTTGTGGGCATAAAATCATCAAGTAACACATATACTCTCCTCTTCACAAGACTGCATGGCTGTTGAAAATGGGAAGAATTTTTACATTGAAGTTGCTCTAAAAATAGTTTGTTACTCCTGATGTTGGAAATATTTGGTGCCACTTACAGCATTGGCATGATTGGATTAAATGTCACATAGATTTAGATTTAGTTCAGTGGCCTTGATGTTTGAAAATACTGAGTGTTGAAATGACAAATTTTATATGGAACGTAATCTATAAAACACAATTTTTGGGTGTAATATTATCACTTGCTGAAATCCAGCAGTGTCAATCAAGTTGACATGAGTGTTGATTTCAGGGTAAACACATGAAGGGTCCCTTGTGCTATGCAGGAATTATTTGATCAGCTGATAGAATGTTAACATTTAATCACAACTCTGAAATTAATATTTTCAAGCACAATGGTGCTTAACCTCAACAATATTGTAGAATACAATTGCTCACCCAACTGACTCTGGACAATTTAAATGGTATTTTACAACTAAAAGACTAAAATCTAAGGAAAGATTAAAAGTAGATTGACAGAGACACACAACTAGGCTATTATTGGTTTTGCCATTTTGCAAAAACACTTAAAATTAAAAAGTTTTAAAAGCACTTCTTAGTACCTGAGGATGATACTTTCAATAGGTTTGTCTCAGATAACCAGTAACCTTTTTCCAGAAATATTTGCCCTGATGTGATCTGGTAGCCAAAGACGTCTCTGACTGTTGTCTTATCTTGCTGCTAGGTGGTGATACGATCTGAAGGTAGACTATAACCACCACCTTTCAGCTATAACATTGTAGCGTGAATACATTCTCAGAATACACTTTTTGTGGCTTTGTTGATTGTAAAAACAGCAGTGTGTCTTACTGTGTTTGGGGGATTTAAAAGTGAGACATTCTTTTCTTGGTGCCAAGTCTTTTGTTCCATGAAAAAATCTCCCATACAAAATTGGCATTCAGTATCAGGATTTTTTTGCAGTGCCTGCGAACAATTCCATCAGAAATCTTGCTCCTGGCTGACTTAAAGGCTCATTCCCGTATTGGTATTTGGTCACCTCTGAGGTCTTATGGTGAGAGAGAGAGAGAGAGAGAGAGAGAGAGAGAGAGAGAGACAGAGAGAGAGAGAGAGAGAGAGAGAGAGAGAGAGAGAGAGAGAGAGAGAGAGAGAGAGAGAGACACATAGCAGACACACAGAGAGAGAGACACAGAAACACACATAGCACACACACACAGTGACAGACTGACACCAGACACACGCATTGCTATATAGGTGCAATATATTTAACCTCATTTCACCTCAGCTCAAGATCTCTATCATTTCCGTTCAGTATTACTATAACATTCAAAGGAGAAACAATTTGTATTACGTTTGAAGTGTAAATGGATACAGAGCAAAATAAAAACAGTAACAGATTTAAAGTGTTAAACCTTTTTTTTAAAATCAGGAATAGCTTTAATTTTGGTTGTATACAATTATAGCAAATCTCTTAAGGTTTTGAAACAACAAAGAATTCACAACCATTCCAATCAAATATTTATTCTAAAAGTCCATGTCTACGTTTGTTGAGAAATTTACACTAAAGGCTCCCCTTAATCAGAGGGGAATAATTTATAGACTGTCTGATCTTTCACATTAAGGCTACCACTCTTGTTACATATGTTTAGCGTGTACATCGCTTGGTGTCACCTGTATCCAAACATTGAGAAAACAAAGTTGTATTGACCAGGGAAGCCTTTGAAGTTGAAAGCAAGCAAAAACAGAAGAGCAGCTTTAACTAATTTGGTATCATTTTCTTTACTTCAGGGATGGACCTGATAGTGGGGCAAAAAATTGAACTAGATTATGGTATTAGAGGGGATGCTCTAGGATGTAAACAGAGAATACATGTACACTAATCTTGTAGACTCTGTGGCATTTCCAGGAGCTATGGCACCATCTCTGGAGACCAAATTTGTATGCTTGACAGCAATAATATGTGCAGCCTTGCTGCCTTGTCTGTTAAGGGTGCATAACCTTTTTACAATTTTTACATGGACCGTGGTTAGATATCATGAAATGAATCTGGATAGTATTCACGAAGTTTCAGCATTATAGCAGCTGTGTTTATTTGATTATTACTTTGTTCAATGATGTCCCTGGCTTCAATAATGGCTTTATGAGGCTGAAAAAAATGAACTTGAAATGAAAACAATATCGATCACAATGGGGCATTTTTATATTGATGTAGACATGTACATGAGAAGAAAATCTAATACTTCTTGTATGTTTCGATGTTGGATGGTTTTCATTGTTTGATAATGTGCCCATCTCATTGGGGATGTGAAGAGAAAAGAGCCATAGGTTGTGAAAGAAGTGGATGTAAAAAGGAAACTTCAACACACATTTCAGTCATTCAGCATGCTGGGAGCTGGTTAACCATGATTTCTAGCACAAGGTCTTGGCTCAGGTTAGCAAGAGAAGTAAATCAGTCGAGTTTGAGAGAAATTTGGAACAAGGCCAACTGAAGCTTCAGAAATCTGGATTTTCCCCAAACATTTATTTGAGGAGTATGCTTGCTGGAACCTGTGCGTGAAGATCGGATAATCAGGGTGTATGATCGGAGATTGATGTTATAAATCGGGATGATGGGATTGGAATCCCCCCAGGAAAGCATGGATCCTCTCAGTCCATGCCAGATGAGCGATTGAGTCTAGGCATTGGTTCTGTTGAAGAACAGTCGGCAAATAAATTCATTGTTGTAGTGTCTTAAACAAGGATCTCAAGCTCCAGAAATAAACTGTAAATACTTGCTGAATCAGTTTGGCAGATTATTGTATTTGCAGATTTTTAATTTACATTCTTTACCATAATCAGTAATGAATGGCTCTTATGGAGTATCAAAGTGGATATTGTCCAGATTAACAGTAATCGGTAATGAATTGTTGTTATGGAGTAACACATGGAATATTGTCCAGATTAGCAGTAACCAGTAATCAGTGTTTGTTGTGGGGTATCAAAGTAGATATTGCCAGGGTTAGCAGTAATAAGTAATGAATTGTTGATGTAGAGTTACAGTGTAGATATTGTCCAGATGACACAGCAAAGTTGTTTAGTTTTATGAGACATGAAAAGATGTTAAAATGGTTGAGGTCAGCAAGATTTGAGAGATGATATCGTATGATTGCCATGATGACCAATCTTCTCTCTCCCCCACCCATAATATATGACCATGACACAAGCTGATATAAATCGAGCACAACATCACAATGAACAATAATCATCTGTGTTGAAAGTCAAATGTGAAATGATTTCTGATGATATATATAGTTCCACTCCTACATATAGCTGTAGTATCTAAACTTAAGTTCTTGGGTGGATCATAGCCTTGCTCCAAGGCTGTTCTGAAGGCTAAGTTACCTGTGAAGGTCCAGGTTAGAATGGTCTTCAGTAACCCAAGCTTGTCGTAAGAGGGGACTAACAGGATCAGGTGGTCAGGCTTGCTGGCTTGGTTGACACATGTCATCGGTTCCCAATTGCGCAGATCGATGCTCAAGCTGTTGATCACTGGATTGTCTGGTCCAGACTCGATTATTTACAGACTGCTGCCATATAGCTAGAATATTGCTGAGTGCCACGTAAAACTAAACTCACTCACTCTCTCACTCACTGAAGGCTAAGCCCATTGATGTATAGTAATTCTATCCTTCAAAGAGGCAAGTCTAGATAAGTGGACAAGGATGCCAGTCTGTTCTTTATGATTTTTAGAAATTATCATTTAAACTATTAATTATTACCTTAGAGACTTGTGCAAGTCCAGGTGGATCACTTTGTGTTTAATGTCACACTCAGCAGCCTTCCAACTAAATGCCAACAATCTGTAAATAATCATGTCTGTACCAGACAGTTCAGTGACTGACTCGAAGAGCATTGATCCATGCAAAATGGATCAATGAAATGGAACCATCCAAGCCACTGAGTTTTGCCACCTGATCCAATTAGGTCCATTCTTAAAACAAGCATCGTTTTCTGAGGCACTATACTCTTACCCAGAATCTAGGTATGGGTCAAATAAGCAAATCCTTGATACTAGATCTCTGGTTCTGTTTATGTAAAAAGACACGTATGAAGAGACATCAATATGAAGTATTTAAAAGGCATTTTCAGCGTATGTGACATAGATATCCTATGACTATAGCAGTGATTGAAGTGACATTTCAAAGCTGAAGTATAAATGTCCTGTGGATGATATTGATTTCATCTTCATCTGTTCTCTGTATGTGACATTTTGATACAGTTACAAAAACCTTTGTGAAGACCATATATTCAAAGATACTTGTAATGGAAATGAAATGTCACATGTGTAGAATATGGACTAGAAATCCATAAGTTAATTGTGCTGAAGTGCGGTGATGTTTAGATTATCTCTGGAAAACACATCCTGACTTTGCAAGGTTATGTCGTTATGGATCTGAGTCCTCTTGATGAATCTATTACACATTAATAATCACTGTTTGACCACAGTCTTGTTTTCTCCTCCAGAGCTGCTCAGAAACTAAGCCGGAAAAAGAAGCGGCACCAGCCTCCGGATCCAGAACCCCCACCCTTCCCAACCAGTTTCTGTGATGTCATCCGTCTATCTCCACCACCAACGCCACCATGTCTGCTGCGTGGAATCAGCAGACTTACGAACCCAGGCATGGGGAAGGTACGTCACTCTGATTCTCCTCTTGTTTGTCTTTTTGGGAGTCTCATCATGTTAACATGTACTCTGAAGCTGCTTGATAGCAGGACTCCCATAGGACCAGGTCTTTAATGGCCATCTTGAAAGATACAGACATCAGAATATTTTATTGGATACTCAAGTTGGGTACCTCAAAATATACAACTCATAATGAGTAAATTATTTTCTATAACTCAAAATATATACTTATATTAGGTAGTTCTGAACATTCTGATCAGGACCTAGAAATACACAATTCATATTAGAACCTCAGAATATTCAACTCCATTGGGTACCTCAAAATAACACTTCGTATTAGGACCTAAAAATGTACAATTCAAATTAGGTACCAGTACCTCAATATACACAATTCATAGTAGGACCTATAGATATACAAAGCCATTGGGTACCTCAACATGTGCATTTCGTATTGAGACCTCAAAATATATAACTCACAATTGGTAACTCAGAAAATATCTATTAAAAGATTAGCATCAATAATCTTTACCTGGAAGAGCACCTGTATCGTCATGGATACCTGGATGCTGGAATTGTGTGGGTGTCAGGAAGGATACTGGCATCAGGAAGGATACCTTGATTGTATGATGTCTGTCTTGAAGACTGTTCGAATTTGGGCATATCCTGAAAGCGTTCCAGTAGGAAGCAGGTTCAAAACCATAATGTTTGAGAAACCATTCAGCACAATTAGCTAACACATCAAATTTGATCTTTAAATATCAACACAATTTTTAGGTATTATCTAATTACTTCCTTGGGCCATCAAACACATGTCTTATATACCGCAAGGGATCAAAAACAATTAACTACATGTACTGTGATATTTCATTCTTCTATTAATATTTATGAAAAGCATGATTTGTTTATCATATTTTGAAATTACTTAATTAATCCAGGTTTAGTGGAGGAAGTAAACTAGACTAAGCCTTTGACCTTTCTTGTTTTTTGCTAATGAATATTTATAAATAGGCTAATTAATTACAGTTTTTGTGCAAGGAACTCTGTAGCTTTTGACCTTTGACAACAAATGTGAATTATTACTGTGGTTGCTCCATTGAAATGTATGTAATGTTTTAATATTGTTCAAACCTAGAACTGAGAATATCAACTTGAACATATTTCTATAATTACATTTTATATTTTACATTATTTTACAAATTTATCATATTACAATCTGCTCTGTTAGAAATAATGCTCATCGTTTGATGGATCTTTCGTGTTTTTATCAATGGAAACATTAAATCATTATCTTATTATATTTAACATTATGTAATTACATTTAACATCATCTTATTTCATTTAAAGATTATTCCAAATTTGAGAACTTCCATGTTGTGCATGATGCAAATCTTCCTATTTGGCTCCGATTACCCAAATCTCTAGTTACAAGATTTCTTGCCTGAATGTAGATTAACATTTACATCCTGAAATTTGTTATGGAAGTTATTTACTTAAAAATATATATCTTAGAAATAAAGGATAAAATACAAATGGAGCTGAGACAAAGTTCCAAGAACCAGAGACCATATAATAGATATATTATATGGTCTCTGCAAGAACTAACCTAATCTAGACTTGCCAAATCATTCTAGACTCAAGTCAGGTTCATGTGTTATTTATATCTCCATACACAGATTCACCTCCATGCTGAAAAATGGAATGTTGTTAAGATACACTTTCTGAAAGAAGTAGGATTAAGTTTTATGGGCAAAAAGTAAGCATGCAGTATTAACTCATATGAGCGTAAAGTAAGTATACTACACTGGAAACTGGCATACTTTGCATGTAACGAGTTCACCATTACCAGGCAGAATTCTTCAAAGTGCATGATGTGGTTTTCAACATGGCGGAAGTTTGCCAGCCGTTGTGGCATGAAATTATAAACAAATTTTTCAATACTACACAGGATTATTTGTTGATCCAGGTGATCTTAATGAACAACGTTAATTTTAGCTTAAATTATGGGAGAGGAATTCTGAGATTGGCGCTGGAATTCAAATCTGTAATTATCTGATAACACTGATTCAGGAATTCATTAATTAGTTAGAAATTATTTGAAAACTCTGTTCTGTAATTTACAAATTTTGAAGAAAATATGTCCAGATTTTCTTGGTGTAATTATTTTAGTTTAGATTTGAAAAGGTTAATGATAGTAATATTGAGATTGTTGGCTTTGTGACACAGGTTTTGGCAGATAACAATTGAAATCATCATGGTGCCACCGAATTATCTAGATTGTTATGTGAGTGAGTGAGTGATTTAGGGGGAACTATGCAGACATTCTAACTAATGTCTTCAGTGTAGCTCTGCCAACAAGATCTTCTTCCATCCATTATTTTGATCGTTAACTAAAGAGGAAGATATCCAGAATTGTATGGTTATGAGAGACTTGCAGTTTCAATAAGCCTTGGCACCTCCTGCGACTGAATGAACAATTTTTGTGGGGGGATGAAAGGAGCGGAAATGGGTGACATGTTTGTGCCGCCACATGAAAGAAACTGTGTCATTTACTAATGAAAGGTGATGCATATCTTATCAGAATTATTTACAATTTGCTCATATTGGGAATAATTATCCTACTAATGGGGCAATTACACTAGAGCACTCGCAAATATAAAACTGGACTTTATAGACAAGCACTCCTTAAATGGAAACCAGCTATGATAATTACGTAACATTATGTAATTTAAGGAGAGACATAAAAATATCCCTTTGAACTTACATGCTTGACATGTAGAATAGCATGCCATAGACTCCGTTGGTGTCCCACATTCCCTCCCCCTGTCGCTGGCTTCCCACCACCATCCCCCCTTTCAGCAGCCACCCACACACTATTTCACCACCCACGGGATTGCTAATGTCAGTGTGACTATTACGTAATACACATGCTGGGTAAGGGCTGTTGATCATCTTACAGTGGCCCTTTTCACAGTAATAAGATGACATGTACAATGGCTGCAGATGACCATGACCCAAGGTGACTAACTCATGTTTAGGGCTGCTCATGGTTATGGTCTGACCCAAATTAACTTTCAGATTCTTTCTTATGTTGACTAGCCACTAGCCCATCACAATGACTGAGATTTTGCCTTAAAATTGCCTTTAACTTAATGAAAACAAGTATGGATGATGATAGCTGCAAATAGCTGCAAAATTACTGATGTGACTTAAAGCCACATATACTCATTCACTATAGATTATGACAAGAGATTTGATGAAATGAATGCATTTTGCAGCAAAAAAGACAATGTTCTATATGTTAATATAAGTAGTCATCTACTGCACTACAACTTATGTTTTCAAGGAACTTGACTCTTGCCCCTTTACCCCTAATTCTTAAATATCTCTTCCAACCTACCCCTTCAATTCAAGACTATGTCTCCCCTCTTCAAATTTTTTGAATTTACAGACTGATTATCTCCCCTGTCCCCAACATTATGACTATCTCTCCCTCCTCCAGTTCTACATCACCTCCAGACACAAATCTTTCTCTTACCTCTCTTCCCTCCCCCATTCATGTCTATTTCTCCCCCTCCTGAACCTCCTGAGTATCCCCTCTCCATCATCAACTTCTCCCCATCTTCCGCCTTTCGGCCTTGCCCCCCAGAGAACACAGGGGGATCATAGGACTGGGACTAGAAGCTTTAGACCCCACAGCTGCCAAGGTCATTATGTAATCTTTAAACTTTGTATAAATGTTTCTCACATGCTTTATGCTTGTGGTCTTTGACAGAGTTTTTTTCTAAAACTTAATGGATGTGCATATCCGGTCGTCTTTGTTGAAATGCTCATTATGATGTTGTTCCTAGGTTGAGGACCTGGCAACATAACTAAGGGTCCTCTTGAAGAATTTTGAAATAAAAGATCTGGATATTTTTACTTTGAATCCAGGGATATCATTTCACATTTGAAAGCAGTCCGGAGAATCATGTGCAAAGAATTTCACTCAAATGCAGCACCTCATTACGAAGATTGTTGGTTGGTCTAGATTCTCAAATTGATAATTTACTGATCTTATTTCACATTTATGGGAAATATGTTTTTGATTATATTTTTATGTTCCCATCAGTGTAATTTGTGAACTGAAATGTGAAGTATTAATGAAAAGTTTCAAACATCCATTCTGTGTTTATTGGTATAAAAAGTCAGTTCATGCATTAATTTAGTTCAACAACACCATATTTTCTTTCACAATTTGTCAAATATCTTTTCATCATCCATTCAGTTACTGTTAATGGGACTTTTTAAGTCTGCTTAGCGTAAAATATTAATGAAACATAGCTATTTGTCCAATAGGTGTGTGGTAATTGTGTTCCAGGCATCAGTTAGGAAGATCACATCACCATAAACCTAACGTGTCCGGTAAAAGCAGCTATCCTTCCAAGAAGTGCAACCTGTTTTGCTTGTTGCCATTTCCCCCTGAAGGTCCAAGTTAAGACATGGAAAAGACCAATTAAGCATTTGTTACAAATCATCTCTTGACAGTTATCAGTCTTTTAAGATGTCCAGAGAAAAATCTGCAACAGTTTTTGCACCTACGACATAATGAATGCACTTGGTTATTAGCAAAAACTGAGAAGCAATTATAGAGTGGTCACTAAAAAGTCACCACCAGTACGTATTTTATCCTGCTGGGCTTGAAGACCACTTGGAAGCGAGATACTACATCCTTCAACTGATTTGTGAGACGTGCACCCCCTCACCAAGATTGCCTGTAACCAGTTTGATGGGCTGAAAGCCATTTCATGCTATCAGTCATGGCTGACTGCTGGATCGGGGCTTTCTCTGTTAGGACAATTTCCCTCCTACTTCAGTTTACAGCTGCTAATTTATGTGCCCATTTCCCAGGGACTGTTTCCACTTGAGGGCGCGCTTTTGCTGTTATGTCCAGTCCATGCCAAGATAACCGGTCATAACGCTTCTGCCAGGCCAACGTTCCGTAATCCCCAATCAGTGACTCCAAGAGA